AGCAAGAGCAGACTTGGGTTTAGCTTTACACCCCCACCCGCCGTGTCTGGCTTTCACCCAAATACCAGCGTTTTTAATGCAGTTACAGAGAGGACGCTTTGGAGAAAGGATGAGGCAAATGTCGCTGCTCGGAGGCCCCATTTTTAACCATTCCTGTCCGCCGCTCCTCACCCAGAGCGATCTCCAGTGCTGGGGACACCTGCTGAGGATGGGTGCTCTCCGTCAGAGAGCATTTTGCCTTAAATCAGTCCCTTCCATGAGGAGTGGCCACTCTCACAGGAAGGAGGCCAGGTGTGGGGATCATGCCACATTTTTGGCCCGCTGTACCCAGGAGGAGACAGCTTTTTGGCTCCAATGTCCTGCCAGTCACCCCAAAGCTCAGGAGCAAGAGGCTCTGCAACTCTCCCCATCGAGGTGGTGCCAGCCCGGCTCTGCCTCAGGGGGCCCACAAAGGCTCTCCTTGCCCAGGAGCAGCCCAGGACCAAGCACCTGCACAGGGAAAGCTCTTCCCAGCAGCACTCCAGACACGGCAAGGCCTCTGGGATGAGCTGTAAATGCAAATCCCGCAGGCAGTGAGCTGCGGGAGCCTCCTGGGAGGCGCAGCCGGCTCACAGCAGCCGCCGCTGAAGCCGTGCGGCTCTCCCCAGGGCCCAGGCTGCTTCTCACATTGACAACAGGAGGAGCTCAGGCCACCAGTCCGGCTCCTGCTCTCAGCTGGCACTGGCTAGAATGAATAAATAAATAAAGAAAAGCCTGAGCTCTGAATGGATTTTCTGCTGATTGCTCTGGGTGTCATTTGGGTTCGAGTGCAGCCTCCTTCGGGAAGCTGGGAGCTTGCAGATCTCAACTTTCTTGAGTTTGTAATTATAATCTTAATGATAAATGCACATATGGTTCTGTGTTTTACATATGCCATTATGGAGCATCCTTTCTCTGGCAGGCCATTTTACAGCCCAAACGTCGAACCTAGGCACGGGAATAAAATCTTTGCACATGCTGGGCTGGAACTTGGAGGGAGGGTGAGGTCTAGGTCGTGACTCTGCCACTGATTCACTGAGCCCCCACACTTGAAATTTAACTTTTCCTTCCATTAGCTCACCAGCACTAAAACAAGAAGCCCAATATCGCCTGCACATCCCATCATCTATTGACTCTACAAGCACCTTGGCAAGGAGCAGTATCTCACCAACTCCCGGGGATAACTCGGGGCAGCAGATCCAGGAGAAGGCAAGAAGGGGGATGCTCCTTTCTGAAGGACGCGCTGGGAGAAGCAACTTCCTCCATCGTGGACTCCGACAAATGCAAAGAAATCCTCCAATATCTTTCTGACAGCCTTCCTTAGCCTTCAGCTTCCCCGAGCTAACGATGCCTGGATTTAGCTGCTGCTTGTAGGTGGCAAACCCTGCTCCAGAAGTGCTCAGCAGTGCATGGACAGGCAGTGCTACATCCTGGCAGTGCTCCTACTCCTGGCAGATCCATCTTGTGCTAGCGTCCCATAGCCCACCCTTTCCTTGGTCAGTCATTCCAACGTGACAAAAGTGTTTTTGGGGCTGACCGCTCTGGTCCTTGGCTCCCAGAGCGGATTCCCTTCAGGGTGACCCCGGGGTGCCTTGGGTCCCCATGAACCACTGCTGTCTTTTGCAGCCCTGCAAGCATTTCCTTCCCATCCCAAGGCAGAGCTGAGCCCTGTGCATGACCCATCCCCACTCACCAGTGAGGAGCAGTCTGGTGCTCCTCCTTGGCGCATCCTCGATGCTGCGTCCTCAGTGCTCTCCGAATTTCACCCAGGCTTCGCCTCCAAAGCGCTGCAAAGCCTCTTGCCTTGGCTCTGTGGGGACCTCACGCGCCATCCCTGTGGCTTGGGCCAAGGACTGGGCCAGCAGCAAGTCACCTGGCTGTGGCCAAGAGGAGCCTGGGCTCTGCCGTCTCCTTGTACTGCTGTGCCCTGCCAGAAACAATCTGTTTACAGTACCAGCACTCAGCATATCCCTCCCTGGTCCGTGTGTAACCGCCACAGCGTATTCCTGCACAGACACACTTTTGTAGCCTGGGTGGCATTGTCACTGGAGGGAATATTTCCATGGCAGCACTCTAGGCTTGTGGCCCGGGTCGACCACAAATCTTTCCCCCGAAGTGCCCGAGGACAGTGCAAGTGCATGCTTTGCTTTTGCTCCAGCTGTGCCTACCGACCTGTAAGCTGATGCATCCAGCTAATTCCTGCAAGGGGCTTTCTCTCTATATCCAATACAGATTAGCAGCTAAAGGCAGCATGATGGCATGGGATCCAAGGGACCCTTCCAAATCACTGCTGCACACTCATGAGTATCCCCCTTAGAAATGTTCTCTTTTTCCCAGGTCATTCCAGGCAACCAGCTTCTTGCAAAGGCTCTAATTTTGGCCAGTTTCTCTCTCTGCTTGCTTCCAGGCTGATAAGCCTTCCGGCCCCTGGGACAGCTCTGCTTGCAGGCATGTCGTGAGCAATCGCCTGGCTCCTAGGAAATTATTTCTGTCACTACCTGGGCAGCGAGCAAACTTTTCTTGCACAGCTTCTGTGCAGGCAAGCGCTGGTTTGGGATATTAGCATTAACGACACCCATGTCTGCAACTTCTGACTGATTGTGCGTTTAGTCAGTGAGACCCGCCGAGATTTGGCAAGAGCCTGTCTTTTGGAGATGCACAGCTTTCTTCCACCTCACTGGCTTTTATCTTCTGGGGAAGCTCTGGAGGCTAGAAGCTACCTTACAGAATGGCTCTCTATTAGCTTTCGGCACTTGGGGCCCATCTCACCATGTCCCAGGCTCCAGCTGCTCTGCTTACTGACATCTGCAATGCTCCTCGCAGCTCCAGCCATCAAAATGAGCAACTTCGCCTTCACCTCCACATGGGAAATGTCCAGGAGCTGGCAGGGCTCTATCCTGCTGACTCGAACGAGGAAAAGGGGAGAGGAGCTTTGCATCTCCTCATGCAGGTGTGGTGACAGTGTCCCTCTGGGGGAGCCACAGTAGCTCCCGCTGCACCATCTCCGCCAGGTTTGCCACCTCCTGGGACATGCCAGAGCACTTACTGCAGCGAGGCTTACGAGTGGAAGCGAACTCTTCTTTTTCCAATACACTTTATCCTCTAAATTTGTCCTGCGAGCAGAACACAGCAGCATTTCCCCCTTGCTACAGGAGCGGCTTGTGCAAAGCTCTGGCCTGACCCTCCTAGTCATTATTATGTGTGGAGGGGATGATGTCTGTGCATCATATTTGCCCATGCCCAGGACTCTCTCCCCCATAGCATACGATGTAACTCTCCTTCGCTCGCTATGCGCTGGCTGAGCAGCTCACATTAGGCAAGCTGGCAAGCTCACGCCACCGTTGCCCAAACCCACCACAGCCAGGTTTGCCACAAAGGCTGGTGGCTGCTTGCTCTGCACGAAGCATGTATGGGTCTGGAGGTCATCCCTTGCCCAGTCTTCCCCAGTATGGAACGTGGAGCCCACCCCCGATAGGGAGCGAAGCCTCTCTGGCCCATTTAATCTTTCCCTTCTCCTCTGCATTATTATAACAGTTAATATTGCCCCGTGCCAGAAGGGCAGGGCCTGGAGGCAGCCCTTTCCCCAACACACGTGGTGGGCATGACGAGGGCATGATGACAGGCACAGGCGCAGGGCAGGGGGAGCACCCTGCCGCAGAGAGCGGTGGTGTGGCCAGGCAGGCAGCAGGGGCACCCGGATTTGCCACCCTTCCCTGAGCTTGGGCTGCAGAAATCCTCCTTCCCCCCACCCTGGCCCAAGTGGTGCTGTGGAAAACCCTGGTGCGTGATACAGCCCGGGCTGGATCCGCTGCAGCCAAAGGGGGAGTTTAATCAGGGGTGGCACCGCCAGAGGAGGGGGAATGGGCAGAGCAGTGTGCGGGGGGCAGAAGGGCACCCACACAAGTTGTCCCCCATCAACGCGCGGTGGGAGCTTCACACCTGGGCTGCACAGGGGCCGCGGCAGTGCAGGGGACCGCAGCTGGCCGGGCCTGGCTAGAGGCCCCCGCGCCTGGCCGCCGCGCGCCCGGCCACA